TGCTTTTAGGATTCTGTCTTTGTCTTTAATCTTTGCCATTTTAACTATGATGTGTCTTGGTGTGGACCGTTTTGGGTTCACCTTGTTTGGAACTCTCTGCACTTCCTGGGCTTGTATGTTGATTTCCTTTACCCGGGGAGGGAAGTTTTCAGTCATCATTTCTTGAAATACATTCTCGATACGTAGCTTCTTCTCTTCTTCTAGTATTCCTACGATGCAAATGTTGTTTCACTTGATGTTGTCCCACAGGTCTCTGAAACTATTTTCATTGTTTTTTATTCTTTTTTCTTTTTGTTGTTCCAAGTGGGTGATTTCTACTATTTTGTCTTCTAAATCAGCTTCATCTAATCTTCTGGTGATTCCTTTGAGTGTGTTCTTCATTTCAGTTTTTGTATTCTTTAGTTCTAACTGGTTGTTTTTTATGATTTATCTATCCTTCTTTATGTCCTCAGTAAGATCTTTAAACGTTCTTATTTATCAGTGTTCTAAACTGTGTCTCTGAAAGGTTGGTACCTCTGTTTCATTTAGTTCCATTTCTAGAGGTTTCTTCTGATTTTTTACTTGGGTCTTGTATCTTTGTTTCTCCATTCTGGCTGTCACTCTGTGATTTCTCGATGTTAGGTAGGTCACCTAGAAAACAAAAAAAAGATAAAAGAAAAATGGAAGGTAAAAAAGGGGGCTCTCTGCCCGCTTTAATCAGCAGACCACTTGCTCAGCAATAGAGAGACTCTGGGCGACCCAGCACCAGCTGTTGTGGGGAAGGGCTCAATGCCGGCCTTCCTCTCAGGCTTGCAGTGTGTTTCCCGCCATTAGCGGCGGTGTGCTCTGGAACCATGCTCACCACCAAAAATCGTCACATGTTGTTGCAGGCTGTCTGCTTCTGCAAAAAACCCTCTGTGGCCTGCGGAGGTGGGGGTCAGGCACCAGGGTCTCAGGTTGCCCCTGGCAACACAGCTTTAGTTGGTCGGGGCAGGCCCCCAAGGCACCACAGGATGTGGTCAGTGGCCGCCACCAAGTCAGAGAAGCATGCACTCCTGCTCCAGTAATCAACCTGCACAAACTTGCCAGGAAAATCCCGGCGTGAACACGCACTTGCAAGTTCACAGTCCAACGCTCCCAGTAAAACTCCCACTCTCAGCCTGTACCAATCAACCACTCGCAGATCAGGCTGAGCAGCCCGACAGCGAATCGCCATCCTGGCAACTCTGCATGCACAGTGCGGAGAGCGGGGCCCCAAGGTGGCTCCCGCACTGCTGCTTCTCAATGAACAGCCTGTTGGAGTCGGAGCACGCCCTCCAGTCATTGCCCTGGCTATGCAGCACAAGTAGTGTGGAGGGTGGGGATCAAAGGCCGCATGCGCACGCACGCACACACATGCACTCCTGCGCCAATTCCACCAGACCAATGTGGTCCCAGACCTGACCCCCTGTGGATGGGCCCAACCCGGAAAACATGACAACCTCCTGTACACTACTCATGTGCAAGCTCCACACGGTGAAACCACGGTCCCAATACCTCCAGCTCCCACGCCAAAGGTGCTCAGTTTAGTCCTTCTCCACAGGCTCCTGGGCCCCGCTCACACAGTTACTCCCTCCACCAGGGACCGGGTAAGTGCTGATCAGCCAGCGAGTCCATGTGCCGGCTCCACTGGTTCTCTGGCCGCCCTCAGCTTCCCCGAGTTGAGCAAAGAGAGTACTCAGTAATTTCCACTGCCAGCTATTGTGGAACTCCCCTTCCCGGCAAAGTAACTCTGGGCTGGTGAGCTCGGTGTGGGTCCGAAGAGTCCCCCAACTGGAGAAGCGTCCCCACAGCAGAGGTGTCCTTCACGGGGTTCGCTTTCTCTCATCTCCGCCCCTCCTTTCAGACTCAACGTGGCCTCCTCTTTAATTCCTTCATGTAGAGGGTGTGTTCATCTAGGGTTCAGGGGACTTCCAAGGTTGAATGTTGTATAAATCATTTGTAATTTTGGTGTGATCCTGGGAGGCAGTTGGCACAGCATCTGTCTACTCCGCCATCTTACCGGAAGAGCTCCCGTTGCTCTGTCATAGCATGTTGTTTAATCTCCACATATTTGTGGTTTTTCCTGCTTTCTTTCTCTTCGCAGTT